GAAGCAATATGACTGTACTGAGCATTATTCTGACTTCTAGTCCATTTGTCATTAATTTGAAATTATGTGTACAGAAGTTACCTTAAGAAATTACAGGATATTATACAGACAGAATTAAGATGCCTATTACATCAAGATACCAAGTCTGCCTAAAACAGAAAGCTTTCTTAAGGTGATTAGGCTCTTCTGTCCCCATAGGACACCCACTTGTTTTGTGCTTAGCAAACATTGGTTACTCAACCATTGACTGTGAACAGAGTACAACAAAACAGAAATGCCAGGTGAAGATCCAGTGGTAATAGAAGTAGGTTGAGGGAACTAAATGTAATTGTCTTAGGCCCTGCTCCAAGTATTTCTCTTGTCTGACTCACAGCATGAGACAGAGTTACTGACTAATGGGTATTTTTGGGTCTGTATACGTACGTACATGAGAAGTCTGTGCCAGAGATTGCTGACGAATTACCTTGTCTTAATCTGTAATGAACTGTTTCTCTAGCTTATCAGAAAATGTGTATGTTTTTACTAGAGTAACTCATGACATTCACGGTACTTTTTTTTTTTCCCCATTTGTACTGTGTTCATTTTTTACTGTGATATTTTTTTCCTTTCTTGCTAACTGTTTTTTTCTGCTCTCTCTAGGGTCCTCCAGGAGGTGGAGGGCCACCAGGAACACCTATCATGCCTAGTCCTGCAGGTATTAAAATATACTTGGAAATAATAAAATATAATTATAAGGCATTTTAGGAAAGACACAAATTATTTTTCAGACTTTGATTTTCATAAAGAATCAGATAATGATAAATTACTTGGTTTATACTTTCTGTATTAGTTTTTTTCATTCGCTTTCGTTCTTTTTCCCTCCCTGCTGTGTTGCAGAGATACAAACCATTGTATCTCTGCAGTTAAGAGCAATTGATTTCTCTGGCTTTTGAGCCCATCTTTTCTTAAACAATTTCGTTAATAGCAAGTTGAAACCAAAAGAAGACGCAATCTTTATTTGCTAATGTTCTTTGGGACAATTCAACCAGTTTGGAAATCAGGAGATTTCTGAACCTCGTGAAACTTCCCTGTGATATCCTATGGGATAGACCTGACCAACATGTGGTTCTTGAGCAATGTGCTGCTTCCTGCATCTGTGTCATCTGACTGACAGCAGGGTCATGCTGGACAAGTTGCTGTCCTCTGTCTTGCAGTGGAGGTGTAAGGCTCCAGAGGAGCCATCATCATGTCCTACCAGTGATCTGTACCCAGAACTTCAGCTGCCCGGTTTTTTCCCCCAAGTAACACGGTCTGTATCATGCAACTCAGACCACATGGAGATTTTGGCCATATTCCTACTGAGGTGTGAGGAAATAAGGAGGAGGATGGGAGGATTTGGGATGGCTAGCTAGCTTCTCAAGGCTTAAAGATGATCAACTAGATGTACTTCCCTCCCTTGATGTTCTGCAAGATTCTGATATGAAGGTGGAACTGCAGGATGCTGTCCTCCACCACAGACATCAGAAATCTGCTAAAATGAAACTAAATACATCTTGTGTAACCCAGTATTCAGTAGCTATTCCTTTTGGCCAGTATCTGTCTTTGTAACTCACCTTCACCACCCAGGAGAATGGGTCCATTCACCTTAGTGTTGTTACAGCAGCCTCAGTCCTTATACCATACATGTTCTTGCTGCCCTCTACAGCCTACAAGAGGGTAGGGAGGTTTCCTAACTGACTGTGAAAACTTCTTGCACCAATATAATATCTTCATTAAAACAATTTCAGGGCTTTAAAAAAAACAAACCTAAGTTAAAGTGTAGGCCTCCCTTATTCATATAATTAGTGAAAAAGGTAATTAGTGCAAGCTGGAATTTAAAAGTTAGAGTCTCTTTTAACATAAATTTGTGGACAGCCTGCACTTTAAAAAATAGTCAGCACTGCAGTTATGGCACACGTTAGGCTGTCTGTGTGTGGCTCAAATAAAGCTTGTGCTAACAGTTGTTCCCATTTTCAACTAGAGACTTAAAGATGTTTTGAGACTCTGTTTTACCAAAGTATGAAAATGCTTAGAAATTGGCCACCTGAGAATTCTGCAAAGGTGTTTACTTGCCTCTGAGACAAACGAGCTCCAAGGGTTCCCATGGCCCACCTAGCCTACATATGTATTTTCACATGAGGCAGCAGAACATGGAGAGGGCCGGGGATGTGTGTGCAAAAAGATGTGGAGGTTGAAAAACTTGTTGCCTACCTTGTCAAATGTTAAAAATAATTTATGTGCTAATTTTACTTTGATAACTTCAAGCTAAAAACTTTTTGTTCCTTCTCTTCTTTAAACAGTATATTTGAATGTTATGGTGATACATAGTGCCCTGCATATAATGGAATTATTTACTCACCGAGGTTATTTAATGCTTAGAAAACTGTCTCAGAAAGATTAAGGAATAGACAAAGACCTTGATTTTAACTGCCCAGTGTACCTACAAATGTGTTCTTGTGGGAGGTCAGGCCACATTCCCAGTACCAACGCATTTCAGTCTGGTCTTGGCTTTCTCGCTTCCACTACCTCTCTCTCAAAAGTACCCCATCAGCTTGTCTCAGAAAAGGAGTTACAGCTCAGTAGTGTTTTTGCAAGTGCTGTAAATCTCAAAACTCTGGTTCAAATAGTGCAATGGTCTTTTGGAGGAGCTAAGTACAAATTACTAAGCTATTCTTTGTTCTTTTTGTAGATATGATAGAGGTACTGAATTTCCAGTGCTGGCAATATTTTTTTAAATCACTTTGTCTGCTTAGGGATGTATTTAGACTTTCCTTAGGTCATTATCCTTTCAGTAAACTTTTCTGTTACATGGCCTGTGTCTTGTCAGGTTCCCTTGGGAAAGGTTTTTGCCTAATTTGTCTACTATCTGCTGCATTTTTTGCCTTCTGTTTCTTACAAATATTGATGAATGGGGTTAAGACTTTGTGTGTGTTAGCAGTGGGGTTAAGTTGGAGATCAGAATGAATATTTTGTACCTATTAATAGTTGTCAAGCATTAAGTTCCACCTCAAGAGTTACATGGATTGTCTTCTCTGTGTCTGGTTAATTAACTTTTGCATTTCAACTCTGGAGGTGCTCCACCTGAGGTTCGTGTGCAATGATGGGAGGATAAGGGCTGAGATGCAATAGAGCTGTGTCAACACCTGGCAAGGCCAAGTGAAACTCTTGACAGAACTTACAGGCTTAGGCGCCATGCTGTGCCCGGATGGTTTTTTTGGTTTAGGACTTAGGGGTTTTTTTAAGCATTGCACCACACTGTACAATTAAGATACATCAGTTAAAGCTGTCCTTAGAGCAAGGATCTTTGCACAGTGTTCCACTGAATAGTTAGATATATCCAAAATTAAAGACTGACATGAATGAGAATAAAAAATTTTCGTTCACTGTACTAACTTGCAGTCTGTATTTGTCATTTATTACAGATGGAAAAAAAAATTACAGGAAGTATTGATAAGAAAGAAACACCTATTTTATAGAGAATATTGAAGATGAGTAAAGTAATTTGGAACTCCAGGAAAAAGTGTTTATGGAATTAAATAGTTACAGATACTTGGTGATTTATAACCCTTTAACAGAGATGCATAAAACTAGAGTCTAGACGTAGTCATTTAGGAACCATTGCAATTATTTCTTTTCATAGCTCTGTTGTGTGGTAACAATAGATAGACAGGGAATGAAATCTTCCATTATATTACTACTGTGTATCAGTGATTCAGGCACAGGAATAATATGAGCAAAATTACAGGAAATGTATTAGATGAGTAGTTTTATTGAAAGGTATTTATTAGCACTTAAAATAATCTCTTATTACAGATTCAACCAACTCTGGAGACAACATGTACACTTTAATGAATGCAGTACCACCTGGACCAAACAGGCCTAATGTAAATATGAATCTAGTTATATACTTCTTTGAATTATACAGCCTTTTTTTATCCAAACACTGCATTTCCGTCACATATCAGTAATACTAAGTTTTCCATTTTTACGGGTGACACTTCAGTTGCTTCCCTCCCCCAATGTACATTTTAATGTTTCCCAAATCAGTCATGCCAATACATGCAGAATAATGATTGGAGCATATTATTCTACATGGAAAAGACCGTAGAAGCTTCTGCATGTGGATCTTGGGGACAACTTAGTTTGTCACACTGCGGTGCGGTGCAATAGGCTTCTCTGTGGTAGGTCTC